GTATATAATTTCATCGTTAACGATTGAATATTTATGTCAGTCTGTAATAATACCTAACTTCGGTTCATGAAATGTTCACATTTATTCCTAACGTCAGTAGTTAATTACAAACATTTTCTAACATCGATCCTCTTTGGTTTACCAAACTTACTACGAGAATTTATTTGTTTATATTTTAAGTAGTTCTCTATCTATTTACACACATTATCGATAAACAGTGTGCAAATAAATTTATCAAGTCTTATAATTTTTGAATAATCATACGATTTTCTAACATATTTATTCGAAAAATTTTTGATTTTTAAAGAATTAATCCTTTGTTATATTTAAGATAAGTCCCAAAAGTAAATTTACAGGGCCCTTTTGATCCCTTCATTTGTTTTTCGTAGTAATATGAAAACTTAACATTTCTGATTTAGGAAAATTTAATTTACGATAGTTTGATTAGTTTCAGTTTTATGGACTTGAACTCATTTACTTTGAAACATTTCTTTTGTATACATATATAGTAGCAATAAACATAGAACACAAAGAATGATTTAAATATCTGTACTACACGCAAATGCTAAAAAGTCATGAAAAATCAAATCCCAGAAGATCAAGAAAAATCTCAATAATTAATATTTGAAATGCATCGGCACTTGAGAGAGATTGACATTTAATTTTAATACACATTATATGTAAATTACGGCAAGATCTGGTTATATTCGCTTAAAAGCCAGATATTCTAGAAAAAGAATCTGTCTCTCTATATGTCTGAATAAGACATCGAAGGTCTGAGGGCGTTTTGATATTTCAGAACATTGGAAAAAAATATTGTGCAATGAATAGTAAACATTCTTTTTCTCATCAGTATGGTTATATCAGTCCATTCAGGTACCTTTGACGTTGAAAACATACACATACACACACGCGTGCGCCCGTTCGCTCGTTCGCGCGCATGCGCGAAATTACATTCGCTTGCACATACAGGCATGCACGTACAAATTTTCCATGACACGCGCATGCGCACACGCAACGGAGGGGCAGAGGGAATGAAACTCATATTTTATCCCTCTTTCATTTTATCCAACCCCCTCCCAATGGTCCATCCAATTAGAAATTCAAATACGTTTATCCAATCGAATTTTCGTGATTAATTTTTTAAGCGTGAGATGCACAGTGACGTGGTAAAATGTATTAATCGTTTTGCAAAAAAACCGGAAAATATAACTTATAAGTAAAATATTTATAATACCTAAAATTATTTTTTAAATTTAAATGCAAGTTTTGTATATGTATATATTAAAAATTATTATACTATCATTCCTCGAAAGTAAATAAAAAAAAAAAAAGAAAAAATTAATATAGTATGTTTATTTAAATAATCATAATCAATATCTTCTCGTGCATTCTTTTTAATCATCTATATATTTATGCACAGTAAAACTCATTAATTGCGCAGTGTTCAATATATACTATATATCATAAATACTAAATTTAATTTTATGCCGTAATTACCGAGAATAAAGAAAGAGATCATCGTTATAATTATGCAAATTGCATTTCAATCGATATTAATACTCTCGATAGAGAATTGATAGAAATAAAATTTAACACATGACAAAAATGTTTTTTTTATATATACAGCATCGATATATACATTGTCGATGTACCAAATAAATAAAAGTTGAAATTTTTATACTTTCTGTATCATGATAAAAGACAAATATTATAAAAATAATTCAATAATTATTTGAAAATGTTATTCTGTAATATTTAAATATTATTAATTTTATTATTTTAACCCAATGTCAAGAAAGACATGACAAATTTAGAAATTAAATCTAAGAACTAAGATCTTTTTAAAAATATATATATATATATATATATATACTACGCATAAATTGAAAATGTGACATGCTTTAATGCTTCAATACCATTAAAATATTCTTTCATTTAAAATAATTAATATCAAGTCTATTTCTATGCCCATTCTGTTTTTAAACTTTGTAATCTCATTTAGTCTTGATATGTTCGCTCTTTTCACATCTTTATAATTATTTCGATTTGATCTATATTTCTTCTATAGCCTAATATTATAGTTTCGCATAGACATAAAATATAAAATAATCTTGAATCTAAATAAAATTGTCTTTGCACAAAGAATATTAAGCAGATTTTATATTAAGGTTTTAATTTTTTCTAATTTCTTTATAAATATCATCATGATAGAGAGTATTATAGCTTGATTGAAATAAATTTCAATTCATTTTTATCAAAAAGATATTAGTGCTTTTATCAAAATAATTTCAGTAATTCATATAAGATAAAAAATTATTGTAATTTTATTTTATTATTTAATGAAAAAGATAAAAAAACTAGTTAAAATAACTGTAAAAATAATAAACAAACTTATACGATAAATAATAAATTTTTCATAATGCAAATAATGAGTTTTTACTGTACAATATATTATTTTGTATATATTAATTAATAATAAATGATTAATATTATCATAATTTTCTGAATTCTTTCCGTCATTTTATCAAATTTCATTTAGTAGTCAAAAAGAAAAATTTATATTATTAAAACGGATATGAGAATTGTGTGTGCGCGCGCGCGTGTGTCGCTACCTGTTACGAAGTACTGATCATTTTAAAATTACTATTGAAAAATATTAATCATTGTCAAATTATTAATTATTATAGAAAAAAAAAATCGACATTCTTAAAATATAAATTTTGCGTCACTGTATAACTGGAAAGTGCTTTCACTCGAAAATTCGAAATCGTTTTTAAAAAGAAAATTTTTACTTAGGATTTTAATTTTTAAATGCTTTAACAATTCTTAATATTAACCAATGGGAAGTGGTATATTTTTCTCCTCGATATCATTCATTATTTTGTAAAGGGGAAAAAAGAGAAAGAGAAAGAGAAAGAGAGAGAGAGAGAGAGAGAGAGAGAGAGAGAGAGAGAGAGAGACAAAGACACACACAGATAGGCAGACAACAGACAAAGATAGCTAGAGAAAAGACATCGAATTACTATATTCGTTATAATTCTATAATTAATAAATGGTAAAGAGACACGCTGGACATTGGCACGACGGGTGGCATTTAGATTTAATATAGAATAAAATTTACGTTATTGCGATAACATTTGGTATCGTTTTTTTGTCGTCGCAAGAACCCCAATTTATCATCCCATTAAAAGTTTATGGGCCTTTTACGATAGAGAATCGATTTTTAGTTAAAATAACAATTTTTGAACATTTCTCAGCAGATTAAGAAATCTACCGATAAGCTTCAACGATTATTGATTTGTGATACAGTGATATTATTTGAATCAACATTAATTCATCGATTCAAATTTTTTATTATTAATATCAATTTATAGAACATTGTCCATTTAATCTCGATCTATTAATTGAAATAATAATATAAAATAAAAGCAATTACTACTATTCGTATTACTATCATAAATTTCGTAACAACAATGATTAAATGTTTTATTTTATGTTCATTGCTGTATCTAAAGGAAATATTTACTAAAAATTCGATTCTATATCACCGTTGCTAATGGAAGAGGTATATATATATATATATATATATATAGCCCAAAGCATCGACGCGGATACTCGTTTAGTTTCTTTAAGAGGTAACGTTCCTCCTTCTTTTTTTGTTTTTTTTTATTTTTATTATTATTATTTTTATTATTATTATTATTATTATTATTATTATTATTATTTTCCTTTCGTTTATATCTTATTAATTCTTTCTGCTTTTTTTTGTTTTGATTAGATTGGTACAGTCTACGTTTGATACGCATCGCAGTCTCGATTAAAGGAAACTGTTCAGAGCAAAAAAGTGGAACACTCGTGAGACCATTGATCGTAATAATTTACTTTCTTACACGCGCATTCTTAAGAAAGTATTGGCAACGCCATTATCTAGAAAATCATTCAATGTATCATTTTTTCAAAGCTAATGGCGGCGATACATGCGCGTACTCTTTTTATTTTTCTATGTTTATACTCCTGAATTATAAAAGGAGCTAAAAAATTTATACTATCTTTATTCACATAACGATGTTTTAATATAAATTATATTTGTGCGCACATTTACATCTTATAATTTCATTTTTATTAAAATGATTTGTAACATTTATATCTAATAATATATTTAAAAAAACGAAATCCAAATAAATTAATTACCATAATTATCAAATATGAGAACATATGTATTATATAATCATAAAGATTAAAAGAATGAATAATATTGTTACATAAATAATGAATTAATATGTCACAAAAATTTAATTATTATACAATAAGATTGGCTTGTGCACAATATTAAAAATATTAAAACATCGAAGTATGTAGCATAATAAAGTTTAACAGAAATACTTTCAATATATGTACTGATAATGTAATGATCTTAATATAGGAAATATTAAAAATTAAAACGTATGTTTATGAGAACACAAGTTGAATGGATAGATATTAATTGAATAATTGAACACGATAAAACGTGCCGGTCAAACATAGTATGCACTTTGCACATATACGCTTTTTCGCGAATGAGATTAATATTAATGTAAAATATTAAAATATTAAATTATCAAAACTAAAACAGAAATAATATCATAACGTCAATATTAATTTTAATTTCAAACTACGTAGTACGTAGATATAGTACGCGTAATAACAATAGTGGCATTCTATTTATTGTTAAATGTACTCAGCTCTGGACCAAACTACTAAAAAAGCATGACGCACACCAAAAGCCTTGAAATTCATGATATACCCTCCCTTGCTTCCATTATCCTCGAATCCCAAATGGAAAAAAACGAATCAGATCCTTATTGCTGCCGAAATGATACGGCACTGATTTAAGTAGCTTCATCGCGAGAACCGATCCATCTGACAATGCAGAATATAATTGACGTATCGTGAAGTAGAAGGCTCGATCGTCGCACGAGTGATACCGCTCCTCCGTGCGGCACTCTACATCGACTCACCTCCCAGAAGGTCTCCGGGTAAGTACGAGTTCAGAGAACTGGGCGTAGCACGTTGTTGATCGTTGCTGTCTATACCAGCATTGCTCCAAAGGGAATTACTGCTCGGTGGAGCGCCCCATAATTGACTGGAACTACCTCCCCAAGTATCTGGTGGTGGACCAGTTTTATTTGATGGTCGCAAGCCCCAGCCTGCTCCCGTAGTTGCTCCAGCTTGTTGTTGACCTCCATGACTAAGCTGTTGTAATAAGCTATGTACTTCGGTATCCGCAGGAGATTCTGCGAAAATTGTTGTATTGCCCAGGACGCAATTGTTTAAAGCACCTTGTGCCTGAAATTATCATTAAACATTTTCTTTATTCATTCTATTTTTTTAATGAAACAAAAAAATATTTCTATTACTTTTCATTTATATATTACGAAATTATTATTAATTAATACATATTATTAATTAATACATATCACCACCAAAGTAAAATTAATTCTTTTTAAAAAAGATTTTCCAAAAAATCTTATTACCATTTTATTTTTTATTTTGCTTTATACGATATAGTTGACAAGTAAAAAAAAAATTATTTCACCAAATTATTAGAAATTATTATTTCTAATAACTTGACTAATTTAGTTTTTATTGATAAAATTTAAAATATATCAATTTATATATAATAAAATTATAGAAATTTATAAAAAAATTTTTTATAAAAATTAAAAAAAATATTTACTTGCAAAACATTATTTTATAAAACAATACGTTGCTAAATATATTTGTTTTTACAGTTCTATTTTGAAGCAAAATTTATAAAGGAAAACATATAAAATACAAAAATCATTGAAAAAATTCAAAATTTACGTAAAATAAATATAAAATGTACATATAAATGTATATAAACAATTTATAAGAATGATTAATGATATATCATTTAAGTGAATACAAAAACATCATGCAAATAAATTTTTCATTATAAGATCAGAAAAAGAGTGCACATCCATTTGAAGAAAATTAGAAGTGAGAATGAAAATAGTAAACTCATATTATATAATATAATTGATTATGTGTTAAATTGATTCCATTTATAAAATAAATTTATAAAATAATAATATAAAAAAATTTTATCTTATTAACATAAATCAAATAAGAATATATATTTGAATAAAGTTTCTGCTTTAAAAAATATTAATTTATTCAATGATAAAGCATATCAAACTACTCTTATAATAATGACTTTTTTAAGAAAAATAAACTGAGAAAATTACAAACTTTCTGGAATATGTAATATTAATATAAAGTATTTATCAAAATTAAAAAGTTTAACTTAAAAATAAATGAATAAAAATAGTATAATGAAACAAATATTTAACCAATTATTAAATTATTAAATATATAATTCAATTCAGGTTTATAATAATTCAACTTTAATTATTTACAATCCAAATTATATTTAATACTTTATTCAAATTAATAATTAATGCAATTAATTATTTTCAATAATATTTTAAAATTATTCAGATTTCTGCATATTCATATTTAAGAAATAAATTTTATTAAAACAATTTCATTAATTATATTAGCAATAAAAAAATAAAAAATCTTATTTTATCTTATTAACATAATATTAATTACTGTTATTTAATAATAAAAAATATTAATTACGTGAAATGCTTAAATTTTTATAAAATAAACAAATAAAGGAATAAATAAAAAAATTAAAAAAAAGTTATTTAAAAATAATTTAAATTATTAATATATATATAATAATATATATAATAATATAATAATATCGATCAATATTAAACTTTAATCATCAATAATATGTTAAGCAAGACTTTAATATATAAAAACATATTTTCTTCAATCATATTTCAAAATATTAAAATAGAAAACGATATAAAATTGTTAAAGATGAATGCGATTAATGCTATAGAAAAAATATATAAAAGACACTAAACCTTAATAGCCTCATCTCTTGATGAATATTTGGTTAAAGCAATTCCATGATTAAGGTATAATCGAAAATCTTGAACAGGACCGTGTTGCATGCAGAGGGTTTTCAAAGTAGAACCATCGATTTGAGGCGTCAGATTCTTAAGTAGTAACCAGGTAGAAACCCAGGCAGCATTTGTGCTCGATTGAAAGCCCCATGAACTGGATCTGCTGACGGTACCAAAACCTGCCCAGCCATTGCTCGCATTTCCCGTGGCTTTACTGCTTAAGCCTGGTGGGGGGCCACGAACCTTAGTCATTGGTGCTCCCCAGAGCTCTGAAGTAACTGCAGTCGGCGGTGGTGCAGATTCACCCCAAGTATTTTTCGAGCTAAAAATTATATATTAAGTAAATAAATAATTAAATGTAAATATATTAAAACAAATTTATGTAAATATTATATACTTGTTATTGTTATATACTTGTTATTTATAATTAAGATGAAATAAAAATTATCTACATTAATGTTAATAATAAAATAAATTTAGAAATATAGAATTAAATATAGAATTAATTCTATTAATTCAAAACTTAAAAATATATTTTGCAATATATAGAATTAATTCTTAATTTTTAATTAATTTTATGAGCCAAAAGAATATTTCAATGTAAAATTTTTTTTATAACAAAATGCCTATATAAAAGCATGAAATTAGAAATTAGGAATAATTAAAAATAATTAAAAATTATTAAAATAAAATTAATGTAATATCTATCATCAAATATTCATGAGTTATGAATAAAAAAAATTATACTATACTACAAATTATTCATAATAATTTATAATAATAACAAATATATGTCACACATATTACAAATAAACAGAAAAGGAATAAAAATAATAATAATAGACAAAATATTAACGTAATTTTAATATTTTATATTTTTTTTTCTCCTATTCATTAAACATATTCATTTATATTTTTTAATGAGATAAAAAATACAAAGTAGAAAAATTCTGATTCCTATTCTTTTTATAACTAAAGTATTAATTCGATGAAGAAGTAAAATTTAATTCTTATCTTGATGAACAATATTTATTGTATTGTTAATATAAAAATAAAATTATTTTATTTACCAGATTTCAGCTTGTAATTATAATTACTATATGAATTATAGTTGAAAAATTAACAATAGAAAAAAAAAGATTACCTAGTAAATGCGTTTGGAGTAGTAGCAGGTGGATTAAACGTCCATGTAGAATTACTCAAACTTGGTATTGATGTATCAGGATTAGTAGGTTGTTGTGGCGGTGGTGAAGTCTTATTACTTGAAGAGAAAATGGCATCTGGATCTTTGATCGTTGCTAAAGAAAGTGGTGAACGAACAATAGAACCCGGAGTAATGCTTGGATCATCCTCGATACTCTTCATCTGGGTACCCTAAAATAAAATTAAATATAGGTGGACCCGAATAAATATTTTTAGAATTCATCACTTTTAAGAATGTTTTTATTCGTCTGTAATTTATGCAAAATATAAATTATTATTTATAATTGAATAATGGATTTATTAGATATTGTATGTATAAATAATCTGCAATATTCAAAAATTAAAATTCAATATAATTAATTTTTTATTTAATTTCTTTTAATCTCAATTTATTTGTTTTTTTTTGTAATAAATATTGTAAGATTTATAATATATAATATATATATATATATATATAAAATTAAGATTTATAATATAATAAAATAATAATATATATAAGATTTATAGTATTTTATATTTTATTATATGGATTATATATAATAATATATAATATAATAATATATATAATCCATATAATAAAATATAAAATATAATAAAAATTATATTATATATATTAATATATATATTATGTATTATTATTATATATATTATATATATTATATATATTATATATATATTGTATTATATATAATATATACAATATATATAATTGTATATAATATAATACAATACAAAAAATAAATTTCAGTATAATTTATTATGAATTTTTCAAGTAATAATTGATTCAATCCATTGAGCGAATTAAAATAATTCGAAAATTTATATTTTGAAAACAGTGATTTATATTACAAACCACAAATATCTTTTATTTCATTATCAATATATATTTTTATAATAAATATGCTTATAAAATATTGTACTTTTTAAGTTTTAATATAATTATTTCAAATATTTTAAATTAATATCATAAGATATTTGTGCTAAAAAAATTATTCTTCACGCAGGAAGTACGATATTGGAAATGGATTACCTTCCATGGCTTGCCAGGCTCAAATTCTGGAACAAGATCGGTAAAAGCAGCACCAGTAGCTGCACCAGTTGACTGCCAATCCTTTCCATCAGTAGAATCCGTATTACCTGGATCTGGCCATCCACTCTCTCCAAGTCTGGTGGACCATGTACCATCTCCTTGACCCAACAAAGGATTCATGTTAGGACTACTGTGTGATCGTGTTAAACCAGCCGGTGTAGCTGCTGGCTTACTGGTTGTTCCTGGTGCTCTCGAGAACTCGTTCGAAACTAACTCTCCATCCTTGTCTAAAGAAGGTAACTTCCACTGGTTTAATCTTGATTGTTGTTGACTCTGTAATAAAAATATTAATTTTAATTTTTGATTACATTAGATTTTTTTTATTTTTAAAATAAATTTGAAAAATTTTATTACTCTCATATTTTAAACAATTACATATTATGAAGAAATATCATCCTCTATTTAAGAGAATAATTTCATAAATTTTGAATAATTTTTCTCTGCAGTATCGTTCTTGTTGTTATTAACAATAAGCAATAATAAAATTGACGAACAATACAATAGAAAAAAAAAGATGAAATAAAGATGTAACTATGTAATTTTGTGATTTTGTTAAACTTTTTTAATTAAATTTGTGTAAATCAAAAAATTACATTTTAGACAAGACAAAATAAATAATCTGTTACAATGAAAAAAACGCATGTTACAAAAAAATAATAAAAAATATACTTACAACAGGAGGTTCTTTATTCATCGTCAAATCCGTAAAACTATTTTGCAATGCCGACATAGGATCATGTACCGAACTCTTATAATATTCTGAGCTTTGAGATGGGGCCACAGGATGTTGCTGTTGTTGTTGTTGCTGCTGTTGTTGCTGTTGTTGTTGCTTCATGTAAGTAGCTTGTTGCACAGCAATTTGATTTTGAAGATTTGCTATTTGTTGTTTTGTTTTTGTAATTTGTACACTGATCTGAAGAACAGATTGCCCATTACCCTTCATTGTACTTTGTACAGAATGTTGTTGATGAAGCTGTTGAAGAACTTTGATTTGTTGTAATAGTTGATTCAAAAGTATTAGAGTTTGAGGTGCAAGTGGTTGGTTTAAAATTTGATGATTTAAGTAACCTTCCTGGACGGCTAACTGAATCTGTTGTACTAACATACGCAATTGTTGAGTACTTGGTTGATTTTGTGGAGCTCTGGAAGCCTACAATCAAAGAAAATATTTTACATATTAAGAACATTAAATTATTTTTTTAAAAATTATTTTTATATAATATTTTTTAAAATATATTATGCAATTTATATATATATTATTATATTTAAATAGATATATATATTATATATAGATAGTATTATATATAAATAAATATATATAGTATTATTATATTATATATAGATATATATAGATATATATAATATATAAATATAATATATAGATATATATTATTATATATAGATTAATCAATAAATTCGTTATTTCTCTCTATTAATTTTCTTTTTTGAAAGAAATATATAATTAGGTAATTACATACATTGTTGTTAATATCTAATATTATTTAAGTAGTATCATGAATTATACATTATATTATTAACTGATACATACATTGTTGTTGTTAATATATAATATCATTCAAGTATATTATGAATTATACAATATGCTATGTTAAACATGGAATATATAATAAATGCTTCCTAATTTGCTGTACAAGATTTCTAAAGTTTAGAAGATTATACTCAATATACTTTTATAGTCCATATATATTGCCATGCAATTTTCTCAAATGAATAAAGATATAAATGAAAATCATTTAACTGTAATTAAGATAAAAAATGTTAAAAAATCAGATGCAAGACAATATATTGCATAATATATAAATTAATTTCTCATTACGAAAAATATTTGAAGATACTGATAATTATGATAAATATAATACTTGAATGTAAGTTTCTATTAATAATACAAAATATTTTTTTTATTTATAATATTTTTTTTGAAGAAGGAGTAACTTATTTATTGATTGAACTATGTATGTTATATTATATATTAAAATTATATAATTTATATGTACATTAAAACAAGATAAATACACAACAATTCATACATATATATATATATATATATAACAATTCTCAAAACATTGTTTTAGAAAATATGGAAAAATATTTTAATTAATTTTTAATATTTCAAAATAAATACTATATTTATTAAATACTACATATTCCAAATTAAAAAAATTATTTAAATTATTCCAAATTAATAAAATTATTTATTTAATTAATATTTTATTGCTACTAATAATTACCTGATTAAAAGGTGGTTGAGGTGCATTACTACTAGGTTGTTGTTGTTGTAATGGAACAGCAGTTTGTTGTTGCTGTTGTTGCAATTTCAATAAACTTGCACTAGCGACTGATCCTCCCACACTACCAGTTGTATTTCCACTTGGCACTCCAGCACCCTAATTAATAATTAAATTAAAAATCATTCTTTATATTTATATATATATATATACAATGATTTTTTTATATATTTTAACTATATTACATATCTATATATATATTAATTTAAATTAATATTTTATAGATACAATTGAAAAAATAGAATAAATATTTTCTAATAAAATAAAACTGTTTCAAAAAAAAAAAATATTAATAATATAATTTGTTAATTCAAAATTACATATCTGGTTGTTTTATAAATATTCCAATTTTAAAATGAAACAGATATTATTGTATACATTTTTTATTCATAAAAGTTTTATATAACCTAGGAAGTTTTTTATTCGCGATTATTTGCGTTTGAATTTATTGCACATCAAAACAAAATAAAATGAATGGAAATATCAATTGAAAATAAAAATCACTGAATAAATTTATAATTATTGACAATTAAATTTTTGACAAATTTTATGTATTGTACCAATGTATTATACCAATTATGTACCAATGAGAATCACAGGGATCAAGCATGTGATAAAATCACATATATGATATTTGAATTGGATTGTCAATATAAGCTTTTTGATTATTATAATAAATAATATTAGTATTAAAGTAATCTTAATACATTAGTTCAAATTTGATTCAATTTTAAATTTATCTTTATTTATAGATTTAATCACATTTATACTTACTACTTTTTAATTTACTACTTATTAATTTATTAAGTTTTTATTAAAAAGTTTGAAATTAAAAAATTAAATAAATATTATTATTAAAATAAAATGTGAAATATATTTATGTACCTAATATATAATTTATAATAACAATTGTAAAAATTAAAAATTCCACAATTTGAACATAAATAAAATAAATTATTTTGCATATCATATTATGTATGCACATGCATGTTATATGTATAAATATAAAAAATTAAAAAATGATTTATTAAGAACAAAATCAATAATAAAATTTTACCGGAGGAAAAGACATTTGCTGTGCGACGTGATTAAATCTAGGATATGCTGGCGCAGTTGTAGCTTGATTTGTTGGATCATAAGTGGAGTGTGCGTCATGTCTTCTCCATTGGTCTAAAGGCCGTACTTGACTTAAAAGTTCCAAAGCTTCTTCTCTATTCATTTCTCGATTTCTTAATGCTAATTCAACATCCTCTTTCTATAAATAAAAATACAATCACTAAATATAAAAAGATACTACTTATTGTCAAAATATTGTTTATTGTTTTTTATAAAGCATTTATTTTTATTAGCATAAATTTTTCTATATCATTAAACCATATATCAATTAAAAAAATTTATATTTTATATAAATTCTTTTAAAATTATATTAATCTAAACAGAAAATGGAATAATAAAAATAGTATTTTTACTTAATATAATATCCTATAATATTTGGTAAAAAATTTTTTAAAATGAAGCTTTCAAATATTCTTCAATAAATTGATTTTCAATACAATTTTTATGAGACTTCTTAATAAAAAAATGCATATTCTTGAATATAAAAATTTATTTTATATTCGTTTTTTTTAATTTTTAATAATGTTAAGCATATTATATTCATAATTATAACAAATTTATGTTATTTAATTCAATCTCATGGATTATTAAATTCTATTTGATAACTTTAAACAATTTTTACATACTTTAAATCCCAAGTCGCAAAGATATCGAAATTCTCTGCTATTCCATATAACTTCTTTTGTAAGAGTAGGTTTTGCAGGATGACCCCAACTAGGAGTAGGATCCATATCACTATCACCCCAGCTTCCAGTGGGTCCCATTGGTTTAGGTTTGTGCGCACTAGGTCCACCCCAAGTGCCAGGATTTAATTGAGCTTCATTCCAGGTACTTGGTGTTTTTGGATCATCCCATGAACCTGCATCATGTGGTCCTTCAGCCCAACTACCATTTCGTCCACCAGGAGCACCAGGATGTCCCCACATTGGTCCACTAACATCTGGTTTCATTCCAGGTTGACCTGGCATTCTGTTTTGTGGCATACCTGGAGGACATTGCATTCCTATAATAATAAAGTTAAAAATGAATAATTTTATATTAAATTTTTATGTAGGTTATAAATTTTAATTAATAAAATATTTATAATTATTAATAATTGTGATAAGATTATAAACAAAACAATAAAATATTTATAAACAATAAAATATTATATTTTATATATTTATATATTAAATATTATATATATATATTATATATTATATTATATATTATTTATTATTATTTTATATTTATATATTATATATTATATTTTTATAAAATATTTTTATTTTAATAATATGTAAATACAAATAAAAACATAATTTGAAAATAAATTTAAAAGAGAATATTTAAAAAGAGAGAAATAAATAGAAAGAAATTAAACAAACCTCCTCGTCCTAAATTTGGTGTTGGAATATCTTTCCAATGAGAAACTTTATTGCCAGGTATAGTCCTCTGATTGGCTGCAGGGTTTCCCCATAAACTTGTGCCATCGTCATAATTTGGAACGTTTCTTCTTTGTGTTGGTGGAGAAGGTTCTTCCCAACCTGTTGGTTTACCTGGCATAATATCTTTTGGTGGTGGCGCAGCCCATTGATTTATATTAGAAGGATTCAACATCTTCGTTGGAGGTCCTGAAGGATGTTGATGTCCCATTTGATGATGTGGAGGACCTGGTGGTTGACCCCACATAGCATCCGCATTAGCACCATTTAATCTCCCAGAAATTCCGCGAGGATCCCCACGTATATCTGTCATTCTAGGATCTCGAGCCATTGGGTCCATTACACGAATGTGTTCTCGAGGATCCAAAGACATTCTATGATCACGGGGATCTCGCATCTCCCTAGGATCAACAGAACGAAGTTCGCGAGGATCTCGATGATCAATTCTTGGATCACCCCAATTAGATCCTGTAAAAAAACATCCATATTTTATTCGCATTTTAACGTCTATTTTAAAAAGTCTTAATTTAAAAGATATTAAATATATTATCAGACTTATTTTTATTTACACATAAAAAACACAAAACACTAAATATTTATCAATCTTTATTATATTACTAGAATTATATTATTAGAATTTATTAAAATTAATACATAATCTATAAGATTTTATTTTCGAATAAAATATTGATGTGTTTCAAAAAACTCACATTTCTTTTTTAACTTAACAAAATTTAAAAATACTTTCTATTTTATAATATATAATTTGTAATATACAATTTGGAATTTATTTTTTAATCATTTATATCATTTTGCAAGTGTCAATCGTCAAAATAAGAAAACGAACGAAAACATAACGAAAACATAAAATTTTATCATTACCTCCCCACATGCCACTTTGATTACTAGTACCAGTTGTCCATTGTCCAGCTGCAGAATTTGGTTGAGAAGATGTTGGAGCACCAGTCCACATATTTGATGAATCAGCTGCTTCATCATCTTCACCCCAAGTTCCACCAATGTTTGTTGCTGGTGTATGACCCCATGGTGTTTTAGCTTGTTGTTGAGGTGGAGGTTGACCACCATTTCTAAGATTAGCTTCCCATAAATCTGTACCATTATTTACTGGTGTTTTCCACATTGGAACTGCATCTTTTGACATACTAGGTTCTGGAGAAGTTGGGACATCCCAGTTTGTATCTTGATTCACATTCTGCTACAACAGAGAAAGTGAAATTCAATGTTAGTATAATATGATACAATAAAATAATATAAAAAAATAAAATAATAATGTAAAAAATGATTCAAAATTTATATATATATTAAATATATATAATATATAATGTAATATATACATTTATATTAATATATTAATATATTAATATAATTATAATTATATTATATAGGTACTTATATATATGTATTTTATATATATAATATATGTGTGTATATATATATAAATTATAATAATAAAAAAAAATATTTTTATGAGCATAATTAAATGATATACACATTTCAAAAGATAAGTTCAAAAAAAAAAAATAAATATAAATTCATGTATACATGCTCAGTTATTGTTATATAGTTATGTGATAAACAAGATACTCACACAACCCCAACCATCTTGACTAAAAAGAGCTTCTCTCACTGTATTTAACTGTTCTAATTGTTGTTTTGTTGAAGGATTATTATTTGCAGATGTATTACTACTATTAACAGATCCCTGAGCCTGATTATTTGACTGATTATTATTATTACTGGAATTTGACTGTTGCTGTTGTTGTTGTTGCTGTTGGGCTGAAGCATTATTATTTTGAACAGAAGAACTTTGACTTGGTCCTCCAGGATTATTAGACTTTCCTTGTGACCATTGATTACTATTTTGACCACCTTGATTTGTTCCACTCGATTGAGAAGTTGGAGGACCTGATTGTTGATTTGATTGCTGATTTGGATTGCTTACTTTATTCACATTACCTGAAAAATAATTATTTGCTATAAAATTATTTTTATCTGTTCAATACAAAAAAAAAAAAAAAAAAAAAAAACATTTTCCTATTTATTTCATTTTCATATTTTTTTGATACATGAATTTATAATTTTAAATTAGAATTTTTTAAATAAATTTGAAATATTCAATTAAATTAAATTTTAATAATTACATATATAAATAATAATAATTATATAAAAACTACAAAGTTGGTTTTTTTAAATATTTTTTTTATTTATATAAACAAAATAAAAATAATAAATATATTAATTATTAATTATATAAAGATAGTTTATAACTTAATTTATAATTCAAATCAAAAATAAATCAAAATTTATAGTATATGTTATATATTAGATACTAAGGTAATTAAGTATAATTTTAGAAATTTTTAATTTCTTATTAAAAAATTATACAAAAAAAAAATAAACATTTACCTGAGACATTTTGCCCACCTGGAGGTCCTTGATTTTGATTTGAATTTGGATTCCCAGCAACAGATCTGTTTACACTGCTTCCAGTCCAATTACCAGGTGCTCCACTATTTCCAGAAGGATTTCCAGAATTTCCTCCCCAACCTGATTGATTATTGTTGTTATTATTTGTAGTACTAGTTTGTGTAGAACCCCAATTTGCAGATCCACCAGCATTTAATGAACTTTCACCTCCGCCAATCAATCTAAGATTATCAGGAATTCCCCATCTTTTTTTATATGCCAAATTAAAATCATCAAGATCGCAAAGTGGTCCAAAAAGAAGAGTTAATATATGTTTAAGATCAGTTTTGAGAACTTGTAAGATGTCTTTGGAAACTCCAATGGATGCTGCTATGAGATTTCTTGCACAATCAATCAAATGATTTCGAGTCATATCATTTGCGTAATTGATATTCTTTTCCTCCGGAAAAAGATTAGAAATTGAATAGTTTCTATTGAAAATTTTTTCCGATGGAGCAGAAACAAAGTTTCGATCGGAGTTTTGTTCATTTTTCAAATAAATAGCAACTTTAGATTTTTTAGACTGATTGCTATTAGATAAATTTACTACAATGGCATCTGTTGTCTTCATTGCATTAGAACTCTCACTGTCAATGAACTGGGCAGTTTGAAAAGTCGAACTGGTTAGAATGAATTGCTTAGGATTTATCAGACTTTCTGTGAAAACATCCTCAGCATTAAATCCGATAGCTTTGTATAATGTCTCTTTAAATTGATAGAAATCACAGAAATTTTCTGAAGAAATTCTTTCATTGATTACACCAGTAAAAGCTTGATACTTTAGCTTCATTTGTTTAAATAAACTAGTTGCAATCGCACCACCGTCCATTTCAACGCGGAGGAAATAATGGTTACTGGTTGAGCTGAGCAATATCACAGACTTGTAGTTATCGTTATTATTACTTAAGAGGCTAGAATTAGACTTAATATTATTGTATTTGCCCGAATGAAGGCAGGATCCTAGTAAGGAGTAATTGTCAAGAGAGTCGAGAGAAAAGTGGCATGACGAGGGGCGATCAGACTTGGGTATCCTAACTAGGCTAGGTACCCCTTCATCGATAGCACACTTATCTCCTGTTAATCGTAGATTTACGCTTATACTTAGTACCCTAATGTTTAGTACGCTAAAGCTAGTCTTATTATCACTTAATGTCTTAGACATAGACTTAGAGTTATTGGCGGAGCTACCCGGTTTGTGATTACCGGTCGAGCCCGGTTGTTTTCTTTTTCTTGTTTTTTGTGTATTAACTGTTATTATTTTTCGATCATCTTGATGATTATGTTTCGCTCGATATGAGCGATGATTTATTTTAGGATTATTATTATTATTATTACTATTATTATTATTATTATTGTTATTATTATTATTATTATTATTATTATTATTATTATTATTATTATTATTAATATTATCATTAATATTAGTATTATTATCGTAAGTTAGAAGATGATTTTTTGTTGGGTGTTTTGTGGTTGACGACGCCACTGACTGGCAGGTCGAGCTTCGACTGGTTAAGATAAACTTGCCTAAAACATAATAAAAGATAAAAATTACAATCTATAATTATATTATTTAACAGTAAGATCTTTAATATAAATAAAATATTTTTTCTTGTTAATTGAGTAAACTTTCTTTTTAATTGAGTGAAGTTACATTTTCAAAACAAAGTTAAAAATCATTTTCATAAAGTAAAAATAATAGCTTTGAATGATATATAATTCAATGCATATACATATTCCAAAAGCAGAGACATTTCAAAGATTTTAAAATTATATTTAATTTTTTTTTTTAGAAACAAAGAAAGACATTTAAATCAAAAATTGAATAATTCAAAATGTTAATAAAATTTGATTTATGAAAGACAAATTTATATTTTCTTGTCTTTTACATGATTTTTTTATTTTCATTTCTTTCTTTCCCCAAAATATCTTTTATATGATATTATATAATAATTCTCATTCTATCAGAAGCAATATATATATATATATATATATATATATATATATATATTGTTTTGAATGCTACTTTATATGAAAATGTAATTTTTATTCTTAAAAAAAAAATTATTAATCACTATTCAGTTAATTTTTAATCTTAAAATAGTTTTTAAACAAAATATTTAATTAATTTTTATTTTTATGTTTATTCAATTTATCATATATGAAATTATATATATAACATTTATATTATATATTAAATATTATTTTTAATATTTAAAATATATATACACAAGAATTTTAATTACCAGTTTGGTTCGACAGGACGGTTAAAAAGTCATTGGCGGCGGTATTTTTGAGATGGCTATTAGGTTTGGCCATCATGTTTTTTATGAACTCGATATCACAGTACCTATCATTCTCTGATTCTCTTCCCTTCCCAACCCTTATCGGACTGCTTTCCCCTAATACTACTACATCCCCCTGAAACAAAAAATCATTATTATAGAATGCCATTTTTTCTTAAAAAAATTAATTTTATGTAATATTTTTTTAATTTTTTTTTAAATTAAAAAAATTATTTAAATGAGTAAAAATTTTATATTAAAATGTAATAAATGTAATAAATGTATATATATTATTTATTAATTAAATAAAATTAACAATTCCATATATTCTACAGAAAAATTTCAAAATTATTTTATTATTTCTATATTATTATTTTTCTTTCTTCTTCTTTCTTTCTTTACTTAGTCATATATTTTTTTTTTAAAATAATATTATTTATTTTTATCATTAATTATGTCAACATAAAAATCCAATCAATACTTTTGAAATCATTCTTTTAAAATTTTAAGATTAACTTTTTTAAGATTAATATTTTTATACTGTTTAAATATGTATTATATTGAGAATAATATATAACAAATTTTTTTTTAAGTAAAATGCTATATTTATTTTTTATTATTTAAGTAACTGTCATCAAATTTAATAATATTTATTTAAAATATTCCTTCTATTCTATAGTTACATTAAATCTATTAATATCTATTAATTTATCTGGTAATATTTAATTAAAACATTTTTTTATACTACATATACAATTAAGCAATTATAATGAAAGATAAATAAAGAAAGCTTCTGGAAATTATAGAAACATTAAAGAAGAGATTATAGAAACATTAAGAAATTGAAAATGATATTTTGAAAATTATTTTATTAAATGTTTTATTAAATTATTTTATTAAATTGTTATTTATCTAATTACATGTATGTATTTATTTTTATGATAATATTATTAATTATTTTATAAAAATATTCAAGAATATTGTTGGAAATATGGATTGAAGATGATATGCAATAAATTTTCTTCATATTTTTTTTCAGTGAATATTTTTAGATTTTTCATTATAATTTTTTAATTATATATAATTTATAGTATATATTACAATAATAAAAAATGTTTCAAATAAATATATTAAATTATATTGAATATAATATTATTATATTCAATATCAGTTATTTAATAATAAAAAGTTGATATGTTATCCCAATTAAAGAAATAAAAAAACAGATTTTTCAAGCTATAAAAAATTCCTCCAAAAATTTGTTATATTTTAAATAATCAACTTTCATGAGCTATTTAATTTTTAAAAAAAGTCATATTTGCTACACTTTTGTTAAAACAATTTATGATTTATATCATATATTATAATAATAATATTCAGAATATCTTTATTTGTAAGAAATGAAATTTTAAATTTAGATAATTTAATTATTATTACTATTTTATAATTAAATTATATAAATCTTTTTAATTTAATATTTGAAAAGTGGCGAAATAATTTATTAGAACTTTATATAAAAATTTATATAAAAATTTTTTACGAAAATTATAGTATTTTTTATTTTAAAAATGTGTTTAGTTATTTTTTAAATAGATATTATTTTAATTTTTCGAAATAGAAATAGAAAGTAATACATTCATTTTCAATTATATAAAATATAATGAATATAATGATATATATTATGATATATTATCAAATCACATTGAAATAACCTTAATTAATGAAATTTTATGAATAATGAAAATGAATATAAAAATAAAATTTATATATGTATATATAATCTTGCTATTTCTTGCATAGTATCGGAAACAAAATAAAAATATACCTAACGAACTTATCAATAATCTTTAATGAATTAAATTGAAATGTGTTGCAAAATATTCGTTGTACGTTGTTCGTTATAAGGTTATATATAATTCAAATCGTTATATTCTTTGATATTATAATAAATGAACTTTATAAATTTCTAAATGTTTATTACGAAATTATGGAAGTTCATTTATAAAAAATTTTGTATGAATTATTCTATATATTAACATTCTAAAATACAATTATATGTATATCTGATTTAATCCTTTGATGATGAAAGAAATTTAAATTGTATAAACATATGATGCATGCGAAGTTTTATAAAATAACTGAAATATTGCAAAGAATAATATTTCAGAAAAAATATTATATCTTAAAAAATAAATAAATTATTTAGAAAAATAATTTTAAATATAAATACAACATGTATAATATATGGAGAAATGAAACTATATCCTATTTATTAATATTGTTCACTATTAAATAATTAAAATAACTACAATTTTTATTTTTATAAAATACAAATATTTTTATAAATTACAAAAATATATATACATAATTTTTTCTACTAACATTTGTTTTTGAAAATAAATATTGATTTATAATTTGAAAAAAAAAATCATTTTATATTTCGCTTTTTTTTATATATTATACAATTTTTAACATATAGATTTATACATATATACAATCTTTAGATTTGATTTAAGTAATGCTAATCAAATACATAAAAGTGATTTTATTAAATTAAATATGAACATAATATTCTCATCAAAATAAAAATAATCTAATCTTAAAAAATCTTAATTCAAAAATTCATAAAATGAAAAGAATAACAAAAGATTTTATAGATATTATGAGGTATATATCTGCATATATAACTTAATATATTATATTTCATTAATAAATCTTTGTGTAAATTAAAAAAAAATATTTTTTTTACATTATATATTATTTAAGTTTTTCTCCAAAATTAAAAAAAATAAAAAATGATTTGATATTTATTAATTCACGTTTGTATATAAATATAAATTATTTTATTAAATAATTTTTATTAATTTCATATACATTTATTTTAACCAATTTTATATATATTTTTATATTTATATATTTATCTAAATTTTATATTTAAATTATAGAGGATAATAGAATAAAATTTTAATTATATAAATTATAAATTATATTTTTAAATATTTATAAATATTATAAATAATTTCTTTTTGGATTTTTCATTTTTTTATTTATATAAAATAATTCTAGAAAGATTAAAAATTTTAAAGAATTGCTTCAATAATTAATTAAAAATAAATATTTGAATAATTATCTTAATAAAAAAATTTATTTTAAAATAATATTTCTTGAATTAAATTTAAAATATTTTAAAAGTTTGAATAATGAGAAAATATGTTTTAAAGTTTTTATAAATGAAATTATACATTTTATACTTTTATATAAAGAAAAGATACATGTAATATAATTACTTTATAAAAATATAATTTGAAATATAATTTTAAAAATATGCAAATTATATTAGATTGTGTAAAAAATAATCAAAAAAAAATTTTTTTTTGATTATTATAACATTTGAACTTTTAAATATTCTCTTGGACTATTTTTTATATATTCATATAAGATATTTGAAATGAATTCTTGAAATGAAATTCTTATTGTTTTTCAAAAAACTTCATAATAGCATAATCCTTGTACATTATATTAACAATAATAAATATGTGTCATTTTATGTTTATTTGATTTTTCAATTTTTATTCAGAAGAATAATATTAAATGAATTAATGTGTGATTAAAAAAAAAGATTAGATTAAAATATTTAAAAACTGAATTAAATAAATATTATAATCTATAACTAATACTTACCATGGAATTTTGTACGAAGGCATTTGTTTCTGTAGAAATCTCATGTGAACTAGAATTGTGTGGAAACATTGGGCTCAGTTCTTCTTTGGCAGGCAATGCATAGAAACCAAGATCTAAGAAATATTATTTATGAATTTATTATTGCTTATATATAAATTATAATATTAACATTTATATTAATAAAATTAATATAATTTTTTAAACATTTATTATATTAAACAGTAATTTATTTTTCATTTTACATTAATTTATTGCTATTTTAATTAAGAAAACGTACTATTTATAAAATATAAAATTTTTTCTTGTTATTTCTAGTTAAAAGCACAATAAATTTTAGATTAAATTTTAAACATATTCATAATATATTTTGAACATATTATTTTTATTTTATAATTAAAACTTATTTATTAAATGATGGATGTTATAAAATAAAATTACTCACCTTGTAGACTATCACTATCAATGTGCTCCTAGCTCCATGCCAGTGGAGATCTATGAAAATAATAATGAAAAATTATTTTAGTTATTAAATTAATATATTTGTATATTTCACACAATTCAGTATAATTATATCTTTAAAATTAGTACAAGAAAAAATTATTAGAAAAAAATCACAGAATATTTACATGAAATTATGTTCCATATTTCTTTACTATTACTTTTCTCTTATATATTTTTATTTATTAATAAATTTACAAAGTTTAATTCAATATATACTTTTTCTCAATAAAACTATATTACTATAATTTTTCTTCTATAAAACAATTCTTTGGATTATTCTATAAAATAAAAGATATATAAAAGTGCTATGATAATATAATAGTTTACAAAATATCCCAATTTTAAATATAATATGTTTAAATTCATATATATATATATATATGTATATATATATTTCTGATTATAATTAGTATCAATAATTATATAATTATATAATTATAATGATAAAAAAAATAATTCTATAATGGACATCTAAAGGTATTAAGTTAATTAAAAAATAAAATTATTTTTTATGAAAATACAACAAAAGTAGGAAAATTTAACTAAGAACTAAAAATAATTTTAAAAAATATTGCATTTTTGTTTTTATCTATTTATGATTACATTATAAAAATTATATAATAAATTTTGCAAATAATTTATTTTGTAATTTTAAATATTTAAACATATAATATATATATAAACATATGAAAAAAATATAAATTAATTAATAAATAAATAATATATATCTCTATAGAAATAAAGATAATTATAATTCTTAACATATAACTATTAATATATTATTTTTTTCAATAATTTTCTCTTTTTTATATAATAAAAATTTTTAATTTCTTAAACAAAACTATTAATATATATAATATAAAAATAAAATAATTTATATTATTTATTATTTGAAATTATTTTAACATATTCATTTATGATATATATGGATATTAAATTTGATATTAGATATAATATAGTTAATATATCTTACTATTTGTAATTTGTTTATATAATAATCTTTACAAATTTATATGATTTTTTATATTATATGATATACACATATATATCCGTATATGTATATACGCGTGCGCGCGCATATATATATATATATATTTTGTTTTTAGAAATATTTCTGTATATTTATTAAATAAATAATATGATTATCATTTTTAATTATTTCTTCTAATCTTATATAGTATAGTATAATATATCTAATCATATACAGTATTTAATTTTTTCACAATTTCTTACTTTCAACAGTTAATTTTACTATTATAATTTCACAATTTTATAATTCTACATCAAGTAAAATAATCATATGAGTATAATTTATAAAATGTATTTATAAGACATTATCTATTTCATTAAACTTATGAAACTTATTATTGTGCAAAAGAATCTATTAAGATTAGTAACTTACAATTTATGGTTTAAAATCATTATTAATAATATTAGTTTAATTATATAAAACAGTTCTGATCATAAGTTTATAATTGTATCATTTAAATTATAAATAAATTAATGGCATATATATGAATTATTAATAATAAACTAAAGATTTTTCAATATATATATATATATATATATATACATATTTTTCAATATATATATATACATACACACACACATTATATTTTTGGTTTATATTATTACAATAATTTCTTTTATTACAACAATTATTCATAGAATAATATAAATTCGTCAATCATCAAATAAAATATGGAGAGTTATATGCGCACATTATATCGTGAGTTAATTTATACGAGTGAATGTTGTAAATACACATTGAGCACCGAAATGAAAATCATAGTTTCGATCGATATTACCGTTTTACCAATAAGCATGTACATTATGAACTTTGTAACTTTTCAAAATAAAAAAGAATATAGTAACAAATTCAAATAAGTTCTACAACATCAAAATGCACAACTCACCAAATCTGTGCGTAATATAAGGTTAGATAACAAGTAGGAGAACAAAATGAAGACGGAATTTGTACATTTCACGGATAATTGCTATACACATATGTTTCATGTATACACATATACACACTTAATATAAAAATATTATACAAATATTGCAAAAAAAAATTTTTAATCTATCTCAATTCACATACATATATGTAAAACAATACATTAATAGATATTTCTAGCAACATAGGCGCCATATATTGTGCACAAGCGTATAGTTCACGTAACGTATGTGTGTGTATGTGTGTACGCGCGCGCGCGCGCATATATGGGTAATGCGCGCTATATGTTGCGTATTTTACACGCGCGCGCGCATGTTTCAATATATATATATATATATATATATATAT